CCTTCCCAAACCAAAACTGGAAAATTAAGAACTAAAGGAGGGGCTCTGGAAATAGCAGTGGGCGTAAAGGTTTGAAGTGCCTAGGGAGCCTATTAGTAAAGAGCGAAGAAACCTTTCTATATTCAACGAACTTGGAAATGAAGTGGAACTCTAAAAGGAAAAAGTGATGAAATTACTATTAGGGAAAATATCCTCAAAAATAATATAAACAACACCAGAAAGAAAATAATTAGAAGAATGTACATATTTTAGGATAATATTTTCCTTTAATTTAAATTTCACTACATAGGAATATCCAATACATTAATTAGTCAATAGAGATTCCACAAAGCAACATATTATTTATCCAGTAAATAATTCCAATCGCACCATTTTAATTGTAATTATAATGTAAACCTATAACAGTGATAAACAATTTTTTTTTTAATTTGAAGAAGAAAAAAATGTGGGTTAGTATAATTTACAATAAAACTCAATATAGATTAAACACAATTTATTTGAGAGAAAATTTTTTAATATTAATCCAATGAAGTAATTTGTGATCTCTGTATACATTGTTTATTTAAACTTACATATAAAAGCAAATAAGTGCCTCTGAACAATTTTAATCGTATTTATTAAGCCGGGATCCATTTTTTTTTCCACACATGTAAAAGTTTTAAAATTTAATTTCTATACCAATTTTCTAAACAATATTTCCTTTACGTAGAAAGTATTCAAATTTCTACGAAAAATCTCATATATGCAGAAAATGGAGACCTTTGAATGCTTTTTTTAAAAAAAGCATTTACATTGAAAATTTACAAGTGTTTCAAAATCTGCAGCGGGTCCGTCATTTAGTTATGAGGTTGAAAACTTAGCCACATTCTTTGCATGCTTTTAAAATGAGGTGACATGTTTTTCTTTTGCTGACCGTTGTTAATGTGTCAGTAACCAGGAGACTTAAAAAGTTCACTGGAAAAATGAATGCTTGTTTATCGCCAAAACCCAGACATTAAATATCTTCATAACTTTAAGTAAGTCGATTTAAATTCTTAAAATCAGTTTTTAGCAAGAGATAATTGAAGATCATGTCTTCATTTTCTTTATCTCGGCCAATGGGCTCAATTCAGGACGGTCACATGATAAAGACAAACACGTGTTCTCCATTTAATTCAAATCAGACATCAAATTCATTGTACTTGTTGTTCGATTTGGAAAACCTGGGTAAAATTTCAAATTTTATAATTGGGTAAAAATGTTCAAATATTATACAAAATAAGCTCCCAAAAGATATTAAAATTAAAAAAAAAAATCTTATTTTATGCACGTACTTTCAAATAAAATACATTTTGTCTACCTATGACCGTAATTATTGTTGACAAATTTGTATTTTTTAAGAAAAAGCTTCTGAAAAGATCAAAAGTTGGCAACACACAACGAAGTGCATGAGTTGATTAGCTGGAAACGCAGGGCTGCTTTTATCGTGTAACTATGACGTCACATGAGTTCTTGAACAGATTGACTAAAAACACGTGGTTATCATTATCATGTGACTAAAGACGTCACATGAATTGAGCCCATTAGTTGATTTCAAATGATATAAGACAAAGCGTAAAATAATTTAATTGAATGAAAATACCTTAATTGAAAATCAATTTTTTTATATGAAATGTATTTTTTTTTTCCATTCTGGGACATAACAGTCAAGTTGAACACCGAATAGTTCCTTTTTGTGAAGGCAACTAGAACAACGTTTATACATAAAAGTATTAAAAACACATTAAAAAAGACGGGAATTAATTTTAAGTAAATCGTGCAAGAAAAATATAGCATTTTTAAACAACGTGGAACATTTTTATTAATTTTTTTTTATCCCACTTTTAGATCTCTTTTTTTAGAAGAAACAATTATACTTCATATTAACTTCTTAAGAATTATTTTTGATCCTACTTAATAACTACAAACAAAAATGCGTTTTTACATCAATAAAAACAGTAAAGTAAAATGCCAGGCACTGTTTAAGAAGTAAAATAAACACCTGTTCATTTTTTCAACAACATTTCCTTAGTCAAACATTTCTTTTGGAAATAATTAACGCTGGGATATTCCTTTTTGTTTCAAAAGTTTCTTTTACTCATTAAGTGTCTTGGGTCTTCTTTAATTAATATCTTTTCAGTTAATATAATACTTTTTTCCCCCTAGCTAATGGTGGTAGTATTTTTTTTTCTTTCTTTTTCAAAAAAGTCTACCTTTTCCCTTTTGCTATCTTTTTTTTACTGACACACTTTACCTAATGTAAACATGATAACGGAGCCATAAGATTTGAACATTGTGGGACAACAATGTTAGAATAGAATGCTCATACTTTTTTTTTTTTGATTTCCAAAAACATGAAGAAAAGTAATTTCCTTTTAATTGACATACAAAAATAATTCCTTTACTAAGCAATTTTATTTGCTATACTTCAAGATGTGACACGGTTCTGTAATTTTTTTTTTAGAATTACGCGAAAAAAAATTCTTATGTTGACGAAATTATTAAAGAACGAAAATACTCTACAAGCAAGTTATGAGCCGTCATCATAGTAGGTGCAGTAGCGTATTTCCTACCAATCAGTTCCTGTGTCTCATTGTTGTCAAGCTTTGTTGTTTACATAAACTTTCTTTCTAAAAAGTTACATAAAAAAAAATAAATAAATTCCTACATTGGTGACTCCAACTGTTGCAGCTAGTTGTAACTTCGTCAGAAATAACGCAAAATAAATTTAAAATTAAAAAAATAAAACCTAATTAATGAATTAATGTTTGAAAAAACTGTATTAACATCAAGCGTCATCCACTACAAGTTTAAAAAATGTATTTGAACTTGAGTCGATGAATAGAAAGTAGTTTATTAACGATTGAAAATTTGAACAATATATATACACAGGAAAATGATGAAATTAGGAATTTCATCAAATCCCTAAGGGAGATGATCAGTTGACGGGAGATATTAAAATAACGTCTCTTCAAGGTACAGACGTTGATGTGCTGTAGCGCCACCTGGTGGAGAGCTGCAACAAAGAGGGTGGCACAAAAACCTTCTCCATGCTAATTTTCATAGTGATCGGTTGAACGGTGTTGGAGTGAAGAGAAGCCATTTTTACAAATATCCATTTTTATACATAAACATTGAAGAATATAACATATCTAAATGTTATAAATAATACCGACAATAATTTATGTACTTGGTATTCACATAAAATTCTAAAAACAATTTATCTTCTTAAGCCTGATTCACACTGAACGCTTAACATTAAAGTGGAAATCAAATAAAATGCATACTCTAAGTAAGAAAACCGATCGCAGCAGCTTGCGCTTTGCACTCAACATGTTGTGCGATCATTATAATTGAATCTAACGGCGAAAAAGCCACTACCTTGATGAGATCGATCGTACGTTAACAAATTAACACTCCGCTGAACTTTTTTTTCACTTCAGTATTTCCCTTTCTTTTAAAAAGTTTAATTCAAGTAAAAGGGGGATCGGTTGTTTTGAATTAAATTTATGTAGGCAATGTTGAACTTTAACCTTTTAAAGTTTGTGAAATTAATTACATGTAATGGAAGATGAAAGTATGGAGTCAAGATAAACTTCAGTAAGCAACTTGAAAACATTTCCAACGAAAATTTTAAAAGGACGTGCGTTATATTAAAACGTTTTCTTTCGTGAACTGCTGAAGCAGCATATTAATTTTGGAATAATGCACCCTCAATACTCGAATTATTGGTTCTCTGAGTAAGCTACATTTTCTGCATTTAATTATTTTCTTTGAATATTTCAAAAACAATAAGATGAACGGTTTTTAAAAAAATTTCCATAGCAAATGCAGGGATACACTTTACTCACTTCCTACCCTCTCTTCCTTTTTATTTACTTATATAGATATCTTATTCAAATTTTAAATCGTACATAAGATACTATCTATTCATCCACTCAAGTTCAAATACATTTTTTTAAAACTTGCAGTGGATGATACTTGATGTTAATGCAATTTTTTCAAATATTAATTCAATAATTAAATTAAAAAATGAATAAATAGTAACAAACAAAAACAATAGTTCAACAGCATATATAGAAATGAAAATCCGTTCGTTGTGTTCCAGTAGCGCAATGGATAGCACGTTGAACTTCTAATCCAAAAGTCGTGGGTTCGAAAATCCCAACTGGGATGGCCTAATTTCTGAGAATGAGATTCCTTTTTTACTACACTATTTTATTAGAATAATTAAATTTAATTAATAAATAAGTAGTAATAAACAAAAAAAATAGTCCACCATATATAGAAAAAGAAATCACTTTCTATTTTGTCACTTAATATTGTGATTCTGTCATATGTATTTACATATACTTATATTAATTGTAATTATTTAATAAAAACTAACTAAAATAAAAGTTTTCTTTGTTGACCTAAGTAGGAATTGATTAATTTTTTTTTAATATTACTTGTTTTCATATAATATGGTACAACATTATGAAAATATCCAGAATGCCCTTGGCAGTTAAACGCTGGTTCAAGTGTCGTAAGAGCTATTTCTTAGTGTATGCCTCATTGGATATCGTTGCACGTACACAAGCGCTGTGAGGCTAGCACAATGCACTCCGCATGGCAGATGCATATTCACTTGCTCTATCTGCGGCGTAAGTGTATGAAATAAAAAAACTGCACAAGAACGCCCGGAATACCTAAGCAGGTTGTGTGACGTTTTTGCGTCACACATCTGAAAAATCGGCTTCTTTTTGTGGATAGGACAACAACGTTCCTATGCACACGTGCACCCTTAAATACTGCGGTGTCCTGTCTTTTGTCATAGCTTCAGTGACCTTAGACCATGCGAAAACCCCACTCAGCTCAGAAGCCGGATGTAACTCGAGGTCAGAAAGAAATCGCTCCACCCCGGAGAGAGCAGAAAGGAAGTCCACAGGAAAACACCGAAGAGAACGGTTGTGGCCTCCTCCCTCACAAATATATTCTGATCCCCTAATGGAATAACCAACATTATGAATAACTCGCCGAACGTTACTGGGAGGCTAGATACAAGCTAGATTAATGATCTCTGTTTCAGCTTTGCTGTAACTGTTCATAATCTGCCATTAGAAATTTTTAAAAATGAATAATTTCAATGTAAATGCGTATATTGTAAATGACAGCTGTGACGTAAATAAACCAAATATTTAAATTCTTAACTCTCAAACTACCATTAATTTTCTCAGACGTCACACGATCCAGCATTTTTAAGCAATTCTGAGTCATCTAAGTGTACTCTACTTTTCCAAAAGCTTGTAACCCTGGTGTTGAGACCCCCAGCACGCACGCAAGATGTTTCAAAAATTCGTTGCAAAAATAAATAGCGATAAAATAGACCTATGGGTAGGTTGATTAATTCATTATTTACTGAAGTCTCACTTTGAAGCTGCATGAAGGCTACTGGCGACGGACCTCGTAATTATAAACCTGGGTAAAGTGGTGAAGATGTCACCCCTCTCCTAACTTCCATATCACGCCAACGTGAGAGCCTTGAGCCTTAAAAGATTTAATGGGCATCAGCCTGTTTATGCAACTAATTCCTTAGTGGCATGATAACTAATCAGCCTTTTATACTGGAGATTCTGTGGAAAGGAGTAAACTGAAATTTTCAGATTTATATTCACCATGGTACAGAATTTCGTATGACATGGAAAGCTAATAGTGTTCAACATCGATTATGGGGAGTGCTAGTATCGATAACTTCAAGGACAGTAATTCACTTTCTATCTGCCATCATCTAATTGTTCAAGTAAAGCGTTATTGTTTAAGGTATCCGATTACGTTCGGAATCATGATTTTAAAAAAGCGCATAAATGGATAATTTTCATGATATTTAGTGTCACTTAGATTAGAATACATGTATAAAATTGTTTTAAGGACATTTTGACAAAAAAATGATTTAAATACAATATTTCGGCAAAAATTAACTTAGAATAATATTTTTTCAAAAAATGTTCTTCTTTTGTGAAAAATGCTTCTATTATAATAATATTTTGCCTGTATATAGCTCAGACCTCTGTACAGAGGCTCAACTATGATATTTGAAAAATTCACATTATTTTCAGAGTTACAAACATTTGAAATAATTATCGGCGTTTTTTTCTTAAAATTTCTTCCCTCTGTTATCGTAAAACCTGGATAAACCCACTTCCAAGTTATATATTTCAAAATTTCTAGTTGAGCCTCTGTGTAGAGGTCTGAGCTATATACGGGCTAAATATTATTATAATAGAAGCATTTTTTGCAAAAGGAGAATATTTTGAAAATGGGTCATTCTGTGTTCATTTTTTGTTAAAATATTGTGTACTTAAATAATTCTTTATTGTAATACTATTCTTAAATCAACTTTATATATATTTTCTAATTTAAGTGACACTAAATATCATAAATGCTATCCATTTATACGCTTTTGCAAAATCACGGTTCCGAACGTAGTCGGATACCTTAAGTTGTACTAGACGAATTCAGAGTCTGAGACAACCGCTCTACAGAAATTTCGGTTGATGTTGTAGTGTCCTCTCATTAGAGAACACTTTACGACACCCCTTGTCATTTTTGAAGCTTGTGGGTGAGCAGAATGGCCATATGGATAATTGTATTCTTCAAAGGGGACCGTGCATTCTTCGCTCACACCCGGGGGACAAAACAGATGTTGAGCAGATTCTGTAAACGGCTTTGATGTTACCACACTTCTTTCTCCGATACCCAGTTCGCTTTTTTGTCACAAAGATTTATAGAAGGGACACTCATGTTGGATGCCCACCCATTCTTTTGTTCTTTCGCACATATGAAGAACTTGAATGGAATTAGTGTCGGCCTGTTGTGAGGAAGAAATACCCAGAAGGGTATTCCAAGAGTCAAAGTGGCAGGTCGATTGATAGACCTTCCATATGGTTTACAAGGTACGGCAACGCAAATTTTCTTAGCCGCGAAGATCTTTTGTCACAAAGAACCAATGGAGTTGGGACCAAGACAGAGGATTCCGGGTGCAGACCTGAAACGCTCGCCTATCAGAAACTATTGATAGCGTGAAAGAGGCCCTTCCAGGGGGTTTAATTCAGAAGATGATCGACCAAAAGATCAAGGAACTGCGAGGACATCTTGAAGACGGTGTGGGGCAGCCGCACCTGGAAGACGATCATCTGAAGATCATTGAACGCTGATCTGCACTCGATCTTTTCACCAATGAAAGGCTGCGAAAACTAGAAACATTAATAATGGAGTTAATTTTTAAATAAAATGCCTTTTGGCCTAAACTGGTTGACCCCTCTCACTACCCAAGAATAAAGCAAATTTTGGGGTCACGATGCTGAAATGTGAAAATGCAGAAAGAGTGCTATATAAAATTTTTCATTTCATAGTTAGTATCTGTTATTTTTTTTACCCCCCTTCCTCCCCCTCTCCTCACATTTAGTCATTTTGTACTGTATATGAAGAGAACACAAATCTACAAACGACATATTTCTTCTCCGAATTACAGATTTTTTTTCAGCAACAAAATTTTTAAACTTACGGTATATACGCTTCGGTTTTTAAGTTATTGATATTTAAGCCTTAGATTCACTTTTGGATTAAATTCAAAAACATTCTTACAGCCACTGCCTTTTGATTTAAGAAGGACACATGAATTTCTAAAACAGAAATTTTTATCTATAACACTCCAGCAGACCTCCCTTTCTTGGAAGTTAACTGTCGAAAAGACTTTTTTTAGTGGATCTATTCAACAAAAGAAACATGTCTGCCAAATCTAAAGTCTGGGTGACTAATAGGTCCAGAGATCTCGTAATGAGTGAGTGTAAGTCGCTTTTTTATTATATACACATATTTCTCTTAAATGTATGCTGTACACAATTTTTACTAAGGCTTCATAATCTTTTCCAATTTAAAAATACAAATTTTCTTAGGCTCGATAAAAAACGAATAAAAATTTATATTTATATTTTATTTTATCTGATTCCTTCCTTACTCCTTATTTTATGTGATTCATATCCTTAATATTATGCTTGTTTCTTTAAGCGAATTTTGAAATATTAATCTCAGAATAATTTTGTAAATTTTATTTTGTTAATTGAATTTTATTTGAACAGAATTTGGAAAAAACACCATAATTTCACATTTGGTCAATCCTACTTCGGATGGAGCTTACACGAAACCGGTTCTTTTTCCTTTTCTGAAGGAAACTACACCTAGGCGGGGCGATCGATAGCTGTTGACAAACGGAAGGCGGCCGAGCAAGAAGCCATAAATAAGCGGCGTGTCAGAAATGTGAAAAATGACGGGAAATGCAAACACTTGGCGGGATTCGCGAGCGCAGGGGACGTGGTCAACATGTGGAAAGATGACGCCGCCGTTCCCCACATAAATTCCGGAATGGATTATGCCTTTCCGCGAATTGCTGTCGAGATGAGACTGACAGTTGCGGTTTGAATCGGATTATTAATCACCCTGTGCTTGCCGGCGATGAAAAATGCTTTTATTTATCTTATAATTACCATGCTCGTATTTATTATTTTTTTTAAAAAAAAATATAGATCCGCTTAGCATTGTAGTAAAATGTTACTAATGGACCCACAGCATTAGAATCCTAACATAGATCCAAATCCATTTTTTAAATAATGCGATAATTAAGGTAAAAAAATAAATGTTACACGGTACTTATTTAAAAAAAAAAAAAGTGGTAAAATTGTAAGGAATGTTCTCATGTTAAAACCATTTATTCTTATAAGTAAATATTGTATATTTTTATTTATAAACAATATGATTTGGGATAAATGTTTTTATAGATATGAGAGGGTAGGGTCCAAACTTTCTCAGAGAGACAAATTTTAATTCAAATAGGTAGACTTTTTACAACTTGTTTTTCAATTTTAATTTTTAAATGAAAAAAGAAAAAAAAAATGGATCTGTGAGTAACTTTCCGAGTACACATGGAATAAGTGCTCGTTAAATCAGTGAGTCCAAAAGTCCTGGAAGCGGTCGCAGCAGAAATCACAGGTGCGTGGCACTGGAGAATATTTCCCTGACCTCTAGCCCAAGCTTAAATTACACCTAAATAGGTAGTGTCGCTATCTATCGTGTAGAAGTCCAACCTGTCTCAGGCTTTGGCAACTGTCCTTCCTTTCCTGTGGGAAGGACAAGACAACAAC